CCTTTTGCAAATGATAGTGTCTTGTTGGCTTCATAAGATCGGGGCCTCCTTGCAGTGTGAAGTGACCTATGAGGGAGAGGTCCTTCCTCAAATGGAGCAGTTCAAGCATGCCAGGGTTTTTCACAGTGAGAGAAGGATGGAGAATGACTTGGAAGATGGTCTCATTTGTGCATGTGTCACTAAAGTCACAGCACAAGCACCCAGAACCAGAGGGAATCCCATTATACGGCAAGTTGATCATCCACATGGAGCAATACAGTACCCACTTTCTAACTTCCATTTTACAAGGAACTTTGAAAAGGAAAAGAGCAGTGTGTGCACCAAACATGTGGAAGAAGGTGCTCTGGTCAGATGAAACCAAAATCAAACTTTTTGGCCACAATGCAAAACGATATGTTTGGCGTAAAAGCAACACAGCTCATCACCCTGAACACACCATCCCCACTGTCAAACATGGTGGTGGCAGCATCATGCTTTGGGCCTGCTTTTCTTCAGCAGGGACAGGGAAGATGGCTAAAATTGATGGGAAGATGGATGGAGCCAAATACAGGACCATTCTGGAAGAAAACCTGTTGGAGTCTGCAAAAGACCTGAGACTGGGACGGAGATTTATCTTCCAACAAGACAATGATCCAAAACATAAAGCCAAATCTACAATGGAATGGTTCACAAATAGACGTATCCAGGTGTTAGAATGGCCAAGTCAAAGTCCAGACCTGAATCCAATCGAGAATCTGTGGAAAGAGCTGAAGACTGCTGTTCACAAACGCTCTCCATCCAACCTCACTGAGCTCGAGCTGTTTTGCAAGGAAGAATGGGAAAGAATTCCAGTCTCTTGATGTGCAAAACTGATAGAGACATACCCCAAGGGACTTGCAGCTGTAATTTCAGAAAAAGGTGGCGCTACAAAGTATTAGCGCAAGTTTAAATTATCCAATAAATTTCGTTCCACTTCACCATTGTGTCCCACTTGTTGTTGATTCTTGACAAAAAATTTAATTTTTATATCTTTATGTTTGAAGCCTGAAATGTGGCAAAATGTTGAATACTTTCGCAAGGCACTGTATTCCCTTCTCCACCTGACCCTCATGTAAGCAATGGGATAATATATCAAGCTTTTAACAGCTTTATTTGTTTGTGACAGTCTGCTTGTGTGGGAAAGACCTGTAGTCGAAAGATTAATGGGTTCTCACTCTTACCCATGGTCTTGAAATTTGACCAAAGCTGTTTTGGGGCAACCTGCAGAGGTGATCCGGGGATGTCCTAACGGGCGGAGAGCCATGAAATCCCCTGGATGAGCTGGAAGATGTCTATGTGCGAGATCTGCTCAGAATTCTGCAATCTGGCAATGGATAAAGCGGAATAACATGGGTGGATAAATGATCTTTTTTTAAATTCCACATTTATTTAGCATTTTTTTGCAATTATGACATTTACGTGTAAAATGAAACATAAATAGTCCAAAAATGTATGTAATGTGTAACAAAAAAACAAAAATATACAGAGTGTATTACAGGACATCAACATAGGTCATCAGGAAATTTTAAAGGGGTCTGCCTATGACCTCCCATGCTTATGACAACAAAAGCTAAAAGGATTTTCACAACTCAAAAAGTGGGAATAACAAATATTTTTGTTTTTTGCATTCTCTGATTTTTTGAAAAACTACTATTTCATAAGTGTTCCTTTAATATGATGTGATTGCTCCATGGTTAAAGCAATGCTGCATATTATCGCAACCGCCGAGCTCCAAGGAAATCTGTTTCCCAATATATCTGCATTCTTCAGCGAAAACTGTATTGCAAAGTACTTTTTTATGTAAAAAAAAAAAAAAAAGTCATAACATTTGGCCTGCTGTGACCTTATTCTCCAAATAAAAGCGGTCGATCCAATACTTCCACTTTAAAAGACTTATTGTGAAGCTCCATTTTCTCTAATCACTTGGCAAAAGAGTCAAGGTCTAAATAAAGAAAGAGTAAATGATAAAGTCTTTGGGCCAACATGTTGCTCTCACCTTTGTAGATGAAATTACCAGAAAAGCTGTTACAAATCAATATAATCAATGCAATCAGCTAACTGACACAGGCAATCTCCTGCCAGTAAGTAAAAAAAAAATCCTGGTGGAGATCCTTCAATCTCACGCACAATAATTGCCCCCAAGGGTGACATTAGGGTGTAGCATTTTGTCCACTTAATTAAATTAGCGTGCTGCGTGGACAGGGTGGGTTGCAGAACTCAAAACGGGACGGACAGGTCTGGAGGAAAGCCAGTAATTAAGGCAATACCTTTACTGATTACGCCAATCCTCTTTAATGAAGCCATTATGCATTTTAACCCAAACACTCCCATGAATTAACAAGTGCCACTGGGAAGCACAACTCATAACTCATGCACAAAACCGAGCAGACGTAATGCTCCCATTTCTCAGAGAGTTATTTAGACTTGACGCACAGCAAAAAGTTCAGTCCGTTCACATAAACTTTAAAGCTCTCGAGCCTATTGTCAAACTATGGAAACTTTACAAGTCGTTTTAACAAGGTCCAACTCGAATCATGTCTGGAAACTTTTGAGTGCTACACAAACATGAAATGCGTATGATGATTTAGTGAGACCTATGGACCACATCAGGAAGGCACCCGCAACGCATTGACCTATAATGCTTTGCTAATTAAATAATTCACTAATTGATTCATTGCCAAATCAATAAAGCTTCCAGATGGTTTATGGGCTGAGCTAAAGTGTGCTGTGTATGTATTTGAGAATGGTGATGGGAGGAGGGCCTTGGTTGCTAGGGTCTCCAGGCAGGAGCAAGAAAACTCCACCATAATTTATGTGGGATTGCCAGGGAGTTTGTGTGCAGAATATATGCAAGGCTCAGTCCCAAAATCACCATTGTGACCTCTAGTTATAGTTTTTTTTAATGGAGCGCAGGTAAAAGCATGTATTATCTTAGATTCAGGAAGAGGGCCTTTGTGAGTGAAGTTTGCATGTTCTCTCCGTGTATGCGTAGGTTTCCTCGGGGTGCTCCGGTTTCCCCTACCACTAAAAATATGTACAATAGGTATGAATGTAATGAGTGAGTGATTGGTGTTGGTTTAATCCGACAGTTCGGCGTCTCGCTTCCATCATTGCTGTGTGTGGAGAGAATGGAACAATATCTGAACTCTGAACAACTGTTCAGAGCTTTGGAGGACCTTGATCTGTAAAAATGCGCTATATAAATAAAGATTACTTACTTACTTACACTATACAAATAATTCCCTCTTTACTAGACTATATGAATATTTGCATATTCATGTAATTTCATGGTCGTATATACATAGATGTGGTCGTTTCTGAAGTTTGATATTGGTCACGAAACAGCATCATGAGCACCATTGTACAGAGCATGAGTGAGGGCAGTCGAAGGCTATTCAGACAAGGTCATTCAGGGCAAACATAGGTAAATGTAAAAGGTAATGATGCACTTTATTAAGCATAGTGTTACTCTGAGCTGCAGACACCCAAAGCTAGCCTGAGGGAATCTGCACATGGCACAACTGCAGTGTCTCAAACAAACATTGCCTTTATGGAAGTGTGGCCAATAGAAAGGGTCTCTGGTGAGGATAGCAAAATCAACTCGGCATAACAAATTATTCCCACTGTAAAGCCTAATGGTGGCAGCATCATACTGTGGGACTGCTTTTCTTCAGCAGGAACAGAAAAGAGTCAGCTGATGGAAAGGTGGATGGAGCCAAAACATAACTATCTTGAAGGTACAGTAACTTGTTGGAGTCTACAAAAGACTGGAGTGGACATTTACCGTCTTATTTCCATTTGCTTTTGTTGGAACTGTCCAAGTGTACAGTGGAGGGAGAGAAACATCAATGAGTGCAACAGTTCTTTAAACCAAATAAAACATTTGTCAGAGTTTTGTTTCATTTGAGTTTAGATTTCATTTATAGCCACTAATAGCATCCTATTTAAATCTTGATAACACTTTTTCTGAAAACAAAATTATTTAAACGTTTGAGTAAAAATACATACATTCCAATTTCTCAAATATATATTCACAGAAAACATAATTTCTCCATGAACCAAATCAGCAGAACTCAAACGCAAATCTTTAATGTACCATCCGGTGATAATATGAGAATACAAGAACAAATCCATGTAATACATATATCCAAATAATTTAAAGTATGTCAATGTGTGTTAGTGTTACTTTCAACAGTCTTATGTACAGTTTTGCAGCAAAGTGCAGGAAATAATAAGGTCCAAGTCCCACGACTAAAAAGCATTAACCATTAAATAAATGCCCTAACAGCAATAAAACAACAGTTTTTAAAACAAAATTACCCTGAGAATAACTAATCGAACACAAGGCATTGAAATTACAGAAATTTTAAAATAACGTAAGGTAAATACATATTGTATTTGAGGCTATATTAATCCTGTTGTCATGTCTGCGGTATTTGATTTGTGTTATTATTGAGACAACATGCAACATGCTTGTGTTTGAATATGTGATCAAATTCATTAGACACAAAGATATTCATATCTTTGAGTCTCTTTATGCAGGTACATTAATCTAAACAGTCCAAACATGAGGATGTAGCACCACCGTGTGATTATTAGCAGCACTGCACATGGAAAGCGCAATAAAAAAAATTGAGTGTGAATTTTTACATTTCCGAGAGGCAGTTGGAAAGTATTTTTGACATGGAATGTTTAAATGATATTTAAGTTTAGGTCACTGAAATGAAGAATAAGGGGTAAAATATTTAATTAAATAACTGAAGTATCAGTAACACATTATCAAATTAAGGCTATATTTTAAAAAGGCATTGTAAAACCACTTTCATCATAATATTCACCATCCATAGAACTAAGATTACATCAGCTGCAGCCACAATAATCATCATATTAGACCACGCTGGTTCGCTCTCTGTGCACTGTTCTGTACATGTGTAAAGAAACCAAGAGGAATGCAGGTTCAAAGGTTCACAGACTGATCAGCTTCACACCATGTTGGTTTGAGTGTTGGGGCTGCGGCTCTGCAAGTCCTGTACCTGGTCCAGGACCCAGCTGATGTTGGGTCGCTCCTGAGGGTTTGTCACCATGATGGAGCTCAGCAAGACTTTCAGGCCTTCAGAGTAACTAAAAGAGAACACAGTATTTACATTTTAATTAAAAATAATAATAATAAATGACAATGTAAATCCAAAAATTGCCATAAACTGTTTTTGACCATAAGCAAAGAACTCAACAATTTGATGGCCTTTAGTCATTTGGTCAAATTAAAGATTTTATAATAGGAATTATATTTCTATTAGAAAATGTACTATTCATAAACAATGTGTGGATATAGACAGGCAGATCCTATTCCTTTTGTATTTTTTCTCTGCATATTTAAATGATCCTTGACATCTATCCATCGATCTATAGCCGTGAATCATTTCCTCATTGGTTGTGGTTGACTATACAGGAAGAAGTTACAATCACAAACACACACCCAAACCTCTAGACCCCTCAGGCAAGCAGTACTGCCGCCTGGTGCCACCTGGGTTACCCTGACAAATGTATATTTAATATAGTCTCTTGGAACTAACCGGCAGGACTGTGGGATGGTCACAGGGTTCTGCACAGCGAGAGCCACACTGTCGCCCTTTTGGAAGATGAGGTCATAGGGCCCCTCCTGCATCATCATGCAGTACAGCACACAGCCCAACGACTTCAGGGAGAAGGAACACACATGAATAACAATTGTGACAAATCAATTACTGCTTTATTAACCAGGCCATACCCAGATATCAGTGCGCTCGTCAATAATACAGTGGCTTTCCACGTTGAAGAGTTCAGGAGCTCTGTAGGAAATAGTACATCGCTGTGCGGCCCAGTCCTGAACGCTCATCGCTTCCCTGCTTCCTCTGACCTGATGAAGACATTTGCATACTCACTTGAATAATATTGAACATACTTTGAGTAAATTTATCGAACAAATAATCATGTCTGACTGTATACAGTGATATAGTATGATATTTACTATATTTATTTAAGTTCCCTGCGTAGATAAATAAAAGTGCACATTTACCTCTATCCTGGCCCGGTTCATGGATCCTAGATCCATCAATACCGGCTTGTCGTTTTCATCCAGAAGCACATTGGTTGGTTTTATATCCCTGACATTTTTCAAAACATAGTATTAAAATGTATTAGAATTATAATAAATATTATTCTGCAAAACGCTGTTACACTGGAGACATTAACCTGTGTGCATAGCCCCGCTCATGGATTGCCTTGAGTCCAGCGCAGATGTTGTGGAAAATTTGAAGAATCTTTTTTTCAGGCATTGAAGTGCCTTTGTCTCGAAGTTTCTCAAGAACTGACCACACACTTCCCTTCTGTTCAGATAAACACATCTGTATCAAAATCACTCATTTTGCATCAAAGTCATGCATTCTGTTGGCACAGCTTACGCTCATATAAGGCAGGAGTAACCATGCTTCAGTTTTGCCGGCACGTTCAACAAAGGTGTGTGCCACTAGACCTAAGATGTTGGGATGACTAAACAGTTGATGCATCTCGATCTCTGTCTGGGCTTCCTGCCGCCCCTCACGATCATGACATAGGATCCTCTTCAAAGCGTAAAAGTGCCCATCTTTTACACCTTCCACAAGATCCACATAACTGAATCCACTGAAAAGACATATAAAATAAAAAGAACAAAAGAGAGTATAACAAAGTTGGTAAAAGTAAGCAATTTGTTCAAGGAGAGGATTAAAACAAATGATGTATTCAACCCTTACTCACCCTTCATCTAGCTTCTGAACGAAATAGTATTTCTTGTTCTCAACCGTGATGGACCCACGGGAGCATATGCACATAGACTGTCCCATAGTGTCTACTACATTGCTCTCGAGTTCTAAACTCTAGAAACCTGAAGAGACAACATTAGTGATTACAAATTGTCATCAAATTTTCAGCTCGGTCAACTATAAAGTGGACATATACTATGCAAAAACAAAGTTGACTATGTTCAATCATTGTTAAACAGCTGTCAGACTATCAGAATGATACACATACAGTGGTTCAGAATCATAAGCTTGTCCAAATAGCTAAAATTATTCAGAATTTACTGATTTTACCTGCATGCGTTGGTGGGAGAGTGACATAGCGACACAAATCAGATATAAACGTTTGTTCTAATGAATTGCTTACCGATATTTCTCATGACTGGAGCTCTGTTTTCCCAGTTAGCATTGGGTTTGCATAGGCTAGCCTTTAGATCTGGCGTTGCCAGGTTTTCAGAAAGCAACAAGCAACCAGACTCGAAACATGGCTCAGAAAATCACATATTATTAATATAAATCCAAAAAATATACTAAAGCTAAACTTGTCTAAACATGAATAAGACATTATGTTGGTCGCAGCAGAAACTGTCTCGTAAAAGTACAATATGGGAACAATATGGGAAGACATGCTGCCTTTAAACACTGAACTGTCTTGGGTGCAATTAAATAATTGGAGGATGAAGTGTATTTAAAATGATTAAAATACATACATATTTGTATTTGCCATCACCGTCATGGATCTATAATAATATCGGGGGGGGGGGGGATCGCCACCATTCAGCGGACTTGGCTTCAGCGAACATGGCAACTCTGGCTCTAACTCCACAGCGCCAAAACAACATTAGTGGTTGTTATGGGCATTGATTTCGAGTTATTGAAGCGATGGCGGATCGTAAGCGAAACAGATGGGGTCCTAAAGCCGACGGAGGTGATATTTGAACTGTTCTGACTACTCATTTATTTTATTATTGTGTTTGTAAATGCACCCTTTTGCTTTCCCACATGAAAACAGTATAGTGCGATCATAGTATACGCCGTAAATGTGTTAAAATGTTTCTGAAGCTAACCTCAGTACCACATGCTAATGCTAACATCGATTCTGCTTACATTATTTGCACCCAAATGTGATTGAATATGTATTGAAATGCAATAATGGTTTAAGAAAATATGTTGATTTTCGAAGTACCCTTAATTATTACTATCAGTATTTAGCCTATAATATTAGTTAACCTTTATTCAGTTAACCTTTATTCCTCCCACAATTTGGAATTTTTGCATTGTAATTATAGCTACTCCATAACTGTAATTATTCTTCATGTCCATATTTCTCTTATATGTAAAACCCTGCTGGCTATTGTTAGTTATTCATTGTTAATCACACTTTAATGGGCAATGATCATATGTAGTATGGTTCACTAAAGCTACATGTAGCCCCACAGGTAATGTTTAATCTCTTGTTATTCTGTAGCTCCGTGAAACAGTTGTTCATCTGGTTGAGTTGTCTCACCTCAAGCAGGGCCGCTGGAGGAGGGAGACAGAGTGAAAACTAAGCCTGTCTCTTGTAGCACTGTGGGGACCGCAGTCAAGCGCACATCACAGCATCTTTCCTCAAGTGATGAAGAGGATAACTCGGCCGAACCACTGGCGCCTCCAAAAGTCTCCAAAATTGGTTTCAACTTGAGTAGTCCAATTGTGAAGAAATCCAACAATCCCATAACAATCAAACTTGGAGCATCAGTAAGCTATTAGATCAAATGGCAAATGTACATGTGGTTTCAAATGACTGAACGTATTCTTTATTTTCTTAGAAACCCAAAGAACCTGTTTCTTCATCTCCCCCTAAAAAATCTGGGCTTGCAGCAGTTTTTAATGAAGATGATGATGTAGGTCTAAAGAGAATACATGTTTTATTGGGTTATAAAGTATTTCTCATTCTGCTTGAATATGTTTTACTGCAGAGTGAACCAGAAGAGATGCCCCCTGAGGCGAAGATGAGGATGAAGAACATTGGCAGGTAATTGACTTTTTTTGATTGATTCAAATGCCACACATTTATTACAAAGGCTGTCATGTAGCGGCACCAGGATTAAATGTTCTGTGACTGCCTGCCTCTGAGTTCTGAATTTACTTGAGATTCATACACATACATTTTGTCATATAAGCAGAAAAGTAACGGTGACAATAGACTGTGTGAGACGGCAGCAGCTCATGTCAAATTGCACTGCTGTTGTAGTTATTTGTCTTGGACCGCCACATACAAAATACAACTGAGACAAACTTGGGAAAGCTTCTGGGCCTGGGACAAATTGGCTCGTAGGATTGACAAAAATGAATGTAACTAATATTTTAGTACTAACGGTTTGTGAACATCTTTCATTTCAGAGAAACGCCAACATCTGCTGGGCCCAACTCCTTTAACAAAGGGAAACAGGGGTTCTCTGACAATCAGAAGCTTTGGGAGAGGAAGCTTAAGGCTCACCCAGGAGAAAAAAAATGAACTGTGACAATGTTGTTGAGAAATCTAGGACTGGCTTGTTTTCATGAGCCAATATATGGACAATAAAATATTTTTGTTCATTTCTATTGACTCACTAGTCTAGTTTATTCTGCAGTGATGCTAATCTGCCCCTGCTCAACATGAGAACTGTATACGTCCATGTCCTGTTTTTAGCTTGATATACGATCATATAGAGAAAATGTTTATTGTGGGGAAATGTAAATAGCGTTACTAATTTCCAAATTCAACTGTTGGACAATTGTGAAGTTAAATGTCACTTATTTTGTCTGTGACATTGTTTTTTGCTAAAATATCTTGTGTTATGCGTTTTTTTGCTTAGTCATCAATAAACATGAGACTTTTACTTACAAATGGGTTTGTAGAGTTTCTTATTGCTTGCAGTCTTCTCAGCTGAGTACCTTTCAAATTGAATTTGATATGAATTTCTCTCAGTGATGCTCAGTATTAGCCTGGCCATAGCCACCCATAAACTTAATCACGCGGTCAATTTATAATTTCCCTTAGTACGATATGGGATGGTAAGACCAGGCTAGCTCAGCATACGTATTTTTGTATTTGTCCTACTTTTTAACTGATTTGACTAATTCCCATTTCATATTTATTTTCATCATTCATGTATAGAAAAGAGTCAACGAATAATCAATACAGCTATATCCAATCCAAATATTTGTTTGCACCAAAGACATATGTTGTTTTGTGATGGAAACTGTAGAAAAAGAAAGTCTCATTCACTTCTGTAGAGATGAGAGTCTTTGATGGGGCATGGCTTTCCTCAGAGACCTCCAGAAGTTAGTGTTGGCTGAGGGAGTCCATTTGAGAGCTGGTAGCACCTTTAAGGCTTTCTGAATGATGACGGGAAGTGGTGGGTTCAGCTGTGGCAGGGAAACTGGGGCCCTGTTTGTCCATATAAGCTGCAGTTTGAGGCCGGAGTTTTCCAGTAGCGCCTAAAGGTGTGAAAACAAAACCACAATTCAGATTTATGTTATTTTCCGGTAGAAGTACCAGTTAACCGTAAACTGAAACTAACCACAATGATTTAGAATGATTGAAACTGAGTATACCTGCAATCCTGATTCAAGCACAAAAACAGCATTGTTGTTTGAGAAGTATTCAGCGGACAGAAGGCAGATCAACATCTGGCTTCTTTGAAGACCATTCACCACATCTTTAGTGTAAGCTGGAAGATTAAACAGTTAAGAAAAGGTTTTTATGGGGACAAATGCAGTTGGAGAAGGCTATCTATGCCTGTAAATGCATTCCTAAACACTGTTGACTTATCTATGTTTGGTGTTGGAGTGCATTTTTATTTACTTTAAAATCTATGTTGTAGTTTTATAGTGTGATTGTTCTTGTGCTTTCTTTTCACAAGTAATACAGTTTTAATCATTGATTCATGTCTGAAGCTCCATTGGCCAGATAGAAATAAAGTATGTAATTTGCTCTGTATTTGCCAGTGATTGCTGCAGGATCACGTCAGTCGCACTCATGGCTCATAATGATTATTACCTGAACAACGGGAGACTTTAACATGTTTTAACGGTATTACTACTCCATAAGACGTGACTGACCTCCTCCAGGCAGAAAGTCCCTGTCCATCAGACAGAGCCGATAGCCCCATTGTTCTTCCAACACGTGAGGCAGGAGCAGCTCCAGTCGCTCTGAAGGCACCTCCACGTCGAGAGGCTCCAGACTGAATGGAAATGCATCATCTGAGAATAACAAAGCAATCTGGTCACAAACTGCATTTTTATACTAAGTAATGCAACCTACTGTCATTGTTGCGTCTCAAAGGAGAGGAAAGCTCCATGGAAACGTACGACAAAAGCACGTCAAAGTCTTTATGGCCTGGTAAAGAAACATTTGAATCAACTATTGAATGCGCTGTTTGATCACAATTGTAAATACAGTGGCCGTATTTAGTCAGACACTTAAAGTATATGGGTATTGGGTATATTATAATGTTGCTCTCTAGCTCTTGTTGCTTTCTGTGTGTTTCATTCACTGCAAAGGGAGACTGCTCCACTTTTAGGGGAAATAAGGAATGGACAGTTCCCTGATCAGGTGAGAATTTGCGTATCCTCAACTCGGAAAAAACTAATTATTTGGCTTTAAAGACTACAACTTATAGTGAACATCATAGCGTTACAACGTCCTGCAAAGCCACATGCATAAACAGTTTATACATGTGGCTCTGCAGAACCAATAACCCTATCCCTAACCCAATATAGCTGAATAATAGTCATTGGTTCATTAATTTTAATCCCCTTCCATTTCTGGGTTGGGGGTGGCAATCAGAGCTGCCACTCATCTGCATAGCACCAGTCCAATAATTAGTCAAATCATTCTCCAACTCATTCAAAATGAGAGTGTGATCAGAATTTCTCTCTGTAGTTAACCACCTTCCTGTAGCTATAAACAGTTTAAAGCTACAGATAGATTTATGTATATGTATTTTCTTACCTAAATCTTTTTCATCAAAAGTCCAGTGAGATTTCAGAATGAGCTGTATCTCAATCCATTTCACACGAACAATAATTCCTAGACCCGTCACAAGCAGTAATGGCCCCAAAGAATATTCAATAAAGGATGACCATTGTACTAAAACATACATGAAATAATAGTTACCATAAGTTACCAGATGCAATGGATATACTATATGCATATTACACATTTAAATTTCTTCTGGAGGTAGATTGTGGCACTAATGTTTCCAGATGTGTTCTGGGCCACGCAGATATACGTTCTGTTTAGGTCCTGTGTTGTTACTTTTATCATTGCTTTCCCAATGACCTGAAGCTCCCATTCAACTTGGTTCACTCTGGACGGGAAAACAAATCAATATTACAATTGTAGATATTAGTTAGAGTGAATGAGGTTATTCATGGACCAACTCTATGTTTTCCATTGTCACGTTCTGTAAATGGCCGTTGTCGTTCCTAAACCACTGGAGGACTCCTGGTGGATCTGCTTCAGGAAAATACACCTCACATTGTAGTGTATGATTCAAACCTATTTTTAAAACAGAACAAATATAGTTGAATGTTTTAACATCTCTCTCAAATGTAATGCATCACTCCAAAGACACATACCCAGCTCCACCTCTTGTGTTGTGTTGTTTGCTGGACGCAGGATTCTTGGAGGGGATTTTACCATATCTGATGTCAAGTAAAAAATCATTGCTTTAGTAGAAAAATCTATTCTCCAAACCTGTTATTATAAGGAACAGTATGTTATATTTTCATCATAAACTACATCCACATCTTTTATATGTGTCATCAGTTGTTATTCTCAATTCAAAATACAATTTAATGTCCATAATACGATTTTCAAGATTCTCAAATCAGAAAGCACAATAAATCTGTATGCTACTAGCAACTGTGTTGTTCTGGTGTTTCCTGAAATAAATAAAATCTCCATTTGGGTCTTATTCCAAATAATAAGAGGTTTTACGTAATACACAGAGTTTTACGGTTTCTAGCTAAACCCCAGCAGGTGGATTGCATCAGTAATCTGTGGTTAGGAGCTACATGTGTTACAGGCAGGCGGATTCTGGGAACAAAAGTGTGATTGTACCTTGTGCATATTACATGGTGTCCATTTTTTATTTTTTTATTTACATATACATCCTCTGAGTATTCCTTAAAGCTGTGGTACCTTACTTTCATACCAAAGAACATGGAACTATGTAATACAATCCATATATAGGTAACTACTTCTCTCTCGAATCAGTTAATACAGTGTTTCTCTATTGCTACAACACAAAAGCCAGTACTCTAAACCAAATGACCAATTGCCTAAACACATTTATTAAAACTTCCCCCCACTTCTCACAACCATAAACACAATTCTCCTGTAGACACTGTTCACAAAACACATGCCCTTTTTCTCAAAACTCTAGACACATTTTTCCTTTGCTAAAACACTTTTTGCATGTATCTCTGCTCCTATAATCATTGTGAGGCTCATGTGATGAAAAATGTCTCCCACTGTCAGCAAAACTTGAACACAATGAACAAACCTCAGAAAACACAACCACTCAGAGCTGAAAACTCCTGTTGCAAATGATGTGACCACAACTTTATAAGTCAGTGCAGGTTCCAAAAGAAAATGGATGATCAAGGCAGAAGAAGAGGAGTTTGTGTCAGAGGAGGGAGAGGAGCAGGTCAAAGACGGAGAGGAGCAGGTCAAAGACGGAGAGGAGCAGGCCAAGGAGAGAGAAGAGCAACATGCATTATGAATGCAAGGGAAATTTAGGTACCCCAGCTTTAATTTAGTGAGTTGTAGTTTCAGGGCAACAGGAGACACAGGGACACTTCCAGAGGCTCACATAGTTCAGCTGTATTTCTCACAGCGCTGTATTTATCGCGTCCACAGGTTGTCCAAAGATCCGCACTTGTCCTGTCAGCGCCGGTCACATGGGAATGAGTCCGCTGTGACACCAGAGCATGTGGAGGGGGGGGCGCCCCCACTATTTGGCGCCCCCCCTGTCATCGCACCCCCCCCCCCCTCTACTATTTGAGAAGCACTGGCCTAAACGTTGTGTTTTCAATTGTTACTGTACTGTAGTATCTTTTGTGTGTAATGGATCCATAGAGTTACTCATGTTTGCATTGAGTTGTGATATAACTGCATTTTCTACTTAATGTAACTATTCTCATGAAACGCACAAATCTATAGTAAAGGGCCAAAAAATTTGAGAATTAAAAAAAGTGTTGCTCAAATGCATCCTGGCAGTTGTGAAACTGTAAAAAGAACAGTCTCACATTCTGAAAATTGTGTTTTCAATTGTTTTGGAGAAGTGGTTAATGATGCTCATAGTGTTCACATTTTTGCAGACCATGAGAGGTATTTTGGTGTGATGGGTTGGTTTTGAGAATATGAGAAACTGTTTTGGTGTGATGAGTCGGTTTTGAAAAGAGACTGTGTTGTTGTGTGTACGTAGCTTTAGAAAAGAGGTTTGTGTTTAGAGTTTTGAGAAAAGGGAGGGCAGTGTCGTGAAATTTGTTTAAGCAATAGAGAAAAACTGTATTATCCATTTGTATATATGGAAAATGTCTGGTACACCTAGATATAAAAGTGCTGTTTGTTTTGGATCGTACATTGGTTTGATATTGGTTCAGGTGATATCTGGAGTAGGCTTTTTATTTGATGTAATCTGTCTGTTTACTGGCTGATATTAGCCTAGAATGTCATATGCAGTAGTTCTTTACTTAATTTACTTAATTCTTTGGCAGAAAAGGGCTATATTCAGTCCCTTCACATGGTATCGGTTCACATCAGGTGAATCGATACCAGTGAAGGGATCAGACTTGAAAAAGCTGGATTGGTCCATGTAAGTTCTGGACCTCCCTACTTAAAGGAGGGTGACAAAAAGACTATTTTGGCTATAACAAAGTCAGCACCAGCCCATAGTAAAGCCATTTTAAGGTTTTAGTTCCGGACCAGGGAGGACAGATACAGACATTTTGCACACAGACTTACTTAAAGCCTTGACTCTGACCGACCGTCGGAGGGTCCAGTTGGCCCCTTGCTCCTGCAGCTCTCGGTCACAGAAGAACACAGCATTGTCGTATTTGCTCACTTCGTACAACTGAAGGTGTCCATCTTTGAAAAACACTCGTCTTCGTGTTTTAGATACACTCTTGTTTCCCTTAAGCAATAACATCAGAGAAAATCACAATGTTGTTAGCCCCATATTAACAATATTTCAAAATATTGTCTATGATCTTTATAACATTAATCAATTTTGTGTTGTCTCGTTAACTATCGGTGGGTTAAGAGCAATAATTTGAGAAGTCTTTTCCTGATGAAATACAAACAGCGTAATTTACAGTTTAGACTTGATTTAATTCAGACTAAGGACTATCTTAGTTTAGCGTAGTTTCATTCTTTATTTAAAAAAAAGTGAATAATGTTTTCTTCTCCCATTCCAGAGATTTAATAAAAGGGTAATTCAAATCCAACAATACATTTTTGAGTTATGTTGCTTACTAACAAACAAACCCAGATGAACACATGACCTCCTTGGATAAAGTAACAATAATGCATAGCTTTTATATAGTGCTATTTTAGACGATAAAAGACGCTCTACATTGGATTATTCATTCACTCTTGACCCAATGGTGGTAAACTATTGTACCCACAGCTGCGCTGAGGCAAACTGACAGAAACAAGGCCTCCAGTTCAAACCATCTGCTCCTCGAAACCACCTCCAGTCCTTTACGCACACACTGGTGAACTGCCTTGCCTCAGGTGTGTTATTCTTACCTTGTACCAGACCGTGGTGGTGCTGTTGCTGCAGTTGTAACCAGGACAAGTGATTTTCCCTCCAGCACCGATCTCCAGAGTGAGCGTGCTCTCCTCTGCGCTTGAACATCCTATTGTGTTATTTACAACCTGCAGATGGAGGAGCCGCCAGCCAGCACTACACCATAAACAAATGCACATTATAATAACCTCTTGAATGGTAACTGTGGGCATGGTCGGGTCAGGTGAGGGGTCTGTTGTATGGCTCTGAAATGTTTCCAGGACACATCTCCCCCTAAAATATTATACTTTTGTGTTTGTAATTTTAAAGAAGAGCGGGGTGAAAGGGCAAAGGATAAAATGCATCTTCATAATCAGCATTTGATATTTCTACTGTATTCAGACTGTACAATGAACGTCTAGGACTAAGAAACACTGCCGACCTGACCTTCAACAACTTGAAATAAAGAATGTATGATATGAAACCACTTGTGTCCACTGTCCCTTTGCTTAGTCACTTTGTGCCATTACCCTCATTCTGATAACATGTACCGATGTATACATACAACTATTTCTTACACTAGAATATGGTATTTTATGCTTGCTTCTTTATCGTGCTTATGTCAGAGATTTTATACTTAATTATTGCTTCTTTATTATGAAATGATTGGAGATTTTAGATGTTTTTTCCTTATGATGCTAAAGTTTGAGATTTTATTTTATTTTAGTATAGGGTTAGACAATATATCTGCATTCGCAATGTAACAGTGTAAAAGTTTTATCCATCCATCCATCCATTTTCTTCCGCTTTATCCGTTGCCGGGTCGCGGGGGCAGCAGTCTAAGCAGAGACGCCCAGACTTGCCTATCCACACACACTTCCTAAACGTTTTAATTGCACAAATAGCTCTTTTACCTTGTGAGGCAGGTGTATGTTCCTGAGAGACTTGCTTCAGCTTTGAACAGAGCAGAGCTGCTGTGGTTTTCCTTTCTCTGGTCTCCAACCCTGGACCAGCTGTCACATGGCATCATAAACACTTCTCCTCTGATCGCTCTGTAATGGATGGTTTGCTCTGGGTTCTGATCTGTGCATAATGAACACACAATGGTTGAGTTTAAACCTTTGATCATAATGCTGAGCAGGACTTACCTGTGCACACTGACAACACGATGTAGGACCATAGCAGAAGAACCATTTTTTGTTAGACCACATCAGTCGCTGTCAAAACTAAAACTTCTAAATGAAGAGTTGCAAAGTTTTCCATCCGTGGCTTTAGCAGTAGTTCTGTCAGTTCACAAAAGCGTATTACAGGCAAACCACTTCCTATTACAACAGTCTCTGTGTGCGGCAGTCATACGTCCAAAATGACTGAAAAATATGTTTTTCACAGTCACGTAAGAAAGGTGTTAATGATGTCACAGAAAGGAAACATTTCAGATTTGTTTAATTCATTAAGACGTGTTTTATGTTTCTCTCCATGCTTTAAGATGCTCCACAAAAGGAGATTAACCTCACCTGCACGTAAGTAAGTAAGTAAGTAAAATTTATTTATATAGCGCCTTTCTCAGACCAGGGTCACAAAGCGCTTCACATTAAAAGCAAGATCAATACATACATATGAGCATACAGAGTAAAGAAAGAAAAACAAACTATACAGTAAAACAAGTTGTACAAAGTACATAGACATCAAGATCTAAAAGGCCTGTCTAAATAAGTGCGTCTTCAAGCTGACTCTTGAAGATATCCACAGACTCCAGGACACGCAGGGACAGGGGCAGCTCATTCCACAGGCGAGGGCCAACGGCCTTGAACGATCTGTCTCCTCTGGTTTTAAAACAGGTGCGGGGGACCATCAGTAGGTTCTGCGTGGACACGGGGATAAGCATGTGCATATATCATACTCTTACACCACTTCACTTTTTTATTGAGCTAAACAAAGATTTTATGTTATCCTTAAAGTATAGAGTGTTTTTTTTAATTACTTTTTGTTTTAATTGTAGTAAAACATTTAATAATCCTTAAAATAAACTCAGGTCTATTTTTATATGTCAAAAGTTCGTGACCCAGAAATATTTAAACTTTCAAATGACCTAGACCCTGGAGCTGAACAATGGATTAAAATCAGACTTTGTTTGTGCAAACGGAAGCACATTTACTTTTGTCAAAAGTTTAAAAAAAAAAAAGTCACATTTTGCCGCTCCGCTGCTCAGACAAAGTCCAAATTCTGAAAATGAATCAATTTTCATTTTTCCATTTAAAAAGTTTTTCCACTTTAAAAAGACACAAGTGCATGTATTTTGCCACTTCTACCTGTCAAAATAACTATGTACTACTATTTTGAATTAATTACAAATTAGTGTATTATAGTGATACAGAAACAAAGTGTCCTATCACAACTATGCAGACGACACTCAGATCTATGTCTCACTGACTGCAGGAGAGCATGGACCAGTGGACTCACTCCTTCACTGTATCCAACAGATCAGTGAGTGGATGCAAAACAACTTCCTTCAGCTAAACGCAGACAAAACTGAAATGATTGTCTTTGGTCCCCAGAAACAAAGAGAGTGCGTCATCTGTCACCTACAGTCTCTCTCCCTAAAACCTTCAAACAAGGTCAGAAATCTAGGGGTAATACTGGACTCAGACTTAAATTTTAATAGCCACATCAAATCAGTAACATCAGCAGCTTTTTACCATCTAAAAAACATTGCCAGGATCAAAAACATAGTATCTAAAGCAGACTTGGAGATTCTTATCCATGCATTTGTCTCCAGTAGGTTAGACTACTGCAATGGCCTGCTCACAGGTCTGTCCAAACAGGCTGTAAAACAGCTGCAGTACATTCAAAATGCAGCAGCTCGAGTCCTGACTAGAACCAGGAAGTACGACCACATTAGTCCAGTCCTCAGGTCTCTGCACTGGCTTCCTGTGGCTCAGAGAATAGACTTTAAAACAGCTCTGCTTGTGTACAAGTCTCTCCATGGCCTCGCACCAAAATATATTAGTGACATGTTAGTCCCATATGAACCAGCCCGGACTCTGAGGAGCACAGGGACTGGACTCCTGTTAGTGCCCAGAGTCAGAACTAAAACAATCTGCTTTTCAGATTCATGCTGCTAAAATCTGGAACAATCTTCCTGAAGATGTGAGACAGGCCTCCTCTCTGACAATGTTTAAAACCAAGTTAAAAACGGTGCTGTTTAGCTGTGCATACAACTGAGGGATTTTATATTTTTATCTTTCGTTTTAATGTTCTGTGATTATTTATGATTTTAATGCTATCTTGTTCAGCACTTTGAGTTGCCTTGTGTATGAATTGTGCTATACAAATAAACTTGCCTTGCCTTGCCTTGGTACTGTACACACTGAGTAAAGTAAGTAAAGTGTGTCGGTGTGTGTGTGTGCATACGTGTATGCATAAGTGTTGGTAAACTGTACTGTATTTATATCAACGTGTCCAGAAACTACGGGTGGAAACCATAGACTATATTTGAAAACTAGCATTATAGCTAATTTTAGTTTAAACCTGGCACACAACATATTTTCTTTTTATAAAACTAATGTTTATTGTGTATTGTCCCTGATCACATGAATACATTCCAATAGTGTATTTGTACGGCCACATTTTTGGTATCTCATGGCCTGTCATGTGTGTGAGGGAGCAGTGTTAATGTGACTGGCTCTTGCACTGGAGGCAGGTGATATCTCAGTTGTTTCCAGAAGAAAGAGGTGTTCTCCAGAGAACCTGCCCACGGGACGCACTGGCCCAGCTCCGCCAGCAGCTGCACAGTGTCCAACAGAGGCCCTATTCCACTTTTCTTTATGCCTTTATTTGTGATGAAAAGTAGGCGGGTTTGACGCTCCACCAAGGTCTCATGGAGGGCACTGAGCAGGGCAGACTCAGAGCAAAAGTCTGGGGAAGAAGGGACCAGCAGCACGACACGGCTTTGCTCCACACACTCCAACAGCGCGTCTGCCACAGCTGCAACAGAAGGGACCGGCTTCTCAATACATATTTACCATAACGAGAAACAACAGAAGCACATCCGATGGCAGAACAATATAGTGAAATACAATCACATTCGTCCAGTTCTCAGGTGTCTGCACTGACTTCCTGTGGTTCAGAGAACGGACTGAGAATAGATAAAGCAGCTCTGCCCGTTCACAAGTCTCTCCTGGTCTCGCACCAAAGTACATCTGTGATATCATATGTTGGTGGAGTACAAACCAACTCAAACTCTGGTTAGCCTCCATGGTGCCCGCAGAGTCAGGACTATCCATGGAGAGGCAGTGCTTCATATTTATGCAGCTATAATCTGGAACAGTCTTCCTGAAAATAGGTTTTCAGTCTGACAATGTTCGAATCCAGTTTGAAAACACACATTTTTAGCTGTGCTTGTAACTGAATGATTGTATCTTCACTGTTGCCAATGATCTGTGATTATTCATGATTTATGTGATGTCGATGGTTCTTGTTTTGTGTTGATGGTTGAAGTAACTGTAATATGTATACAATTATAAATCCAGGCATTTGTATTACTCTAAAACTATAATAAACTACCGACATATATATATATTTTTCATACAATGGCACTTAATCAGGGTTTTTCTTGTGTGCATGGTGCTTGTGCTTCACAGCAAGAAGGTCCTGGGTTCGATTCCAACTTCAGCCGGGGCCTGTATCTGTGTACGTTTCCTCCAGGTGCACTGGTTTCCCCTCCCACTAGAAACCCTACAATAGATTCGCTGTGTACCTCCTGTACGGTGATACACGTGATAAGATAAAAAAGATAGGATAAACTTTATTGATCTCACAATGGAAAAATGTACAATGTGATGTGAGAAGACAAATGCCCACAACGATTCAACCATTTTGCTCACTGACTTACTGTGCAGGTGCTAAAGAACTATTGTCACATCTACAGTGGTTAGTGGGTCTTGAGGGTTCTGCAGCTCCCCCTATGGCCACAGCACGGTCATGATCATATCTGTCCAGATAAAGATATTTTATGAATGCATATATATATTTTTTTAACTTATTAATGAGCCAAAACAAATTCCTAGTTTGTGGCTTCCTGTTACAAGGCCAATACAATTCTGATTCTGAAGTGTGTTTATTATGAATCTATTTACAGCATACCTCCATAGAAGACCCCAGCACCCCCATGAATAAAAGACACTTGACAAATTCCGAAAAGGAGTGCAATGTTTGAGGACACAATGTCAGGATGCAGCAGCAGTGAAGCGTTTGCTGTTACCTTTTCCAGGTAGAACGTCGCGGTCGAAAAGGCAGAGGCTGTAGCCAAATCGATCCTCCAGAACATTCTGCAGAGTTCTCCTCTGGTCTGCACTGAGTCCTGGTTCCTGCTCACTCCAGTAGTACAATATGAAGGCATCGAAACTTTTATCATCTAAACAAATAAACATATATTTAATTCAATGTATTCTTGAATAATAGAATATATACCTTAATAAAACACTTTTGAAATTTCTCAATTTTATGCTCTAATATTGTGTTATCACCAGAACGGTTTATATGGTTTAATACTACAACTCCCAGGGAAATTAAATGGACTGCTTTCAGTTTTAGAAGCGTAATATCTCAGTTTATACCTGTGTGGTCATCTTAAATGTGTGACTTCTTCTGTATCTATATTTAGTTTCATTCTATGTCATTATGAGTTTATGTATTTTCAGCATGCTCACATGATGCTCCTTGTAAATGGAACATCTGTTATCTGTTTGCCTGTCATCAATTGAGCTTTGATGCGGAGCTCATTTAAAGCTAGAATACCTTACTTTAGAGCAATTAATTAACTCGCATTTAATCTAACGAGTCACTTGCTCTGAGAAAGTTTGGTTCTATCACACGGCCTGTGTGTATTTTTTTGGCCTCTGTCACCTACTGTCGCCTTTGAGCCGGAAGGTCGTGGGTTCGAGCCCACCACAAGACTTTCTCCACCGACTCCCACTGATGTCTGCTGTTGTTGTGTCCTTGGCAAGACACTTAACCTCTGGGAAAACCTGATGCGACAGTGGGGCGGCTGCGGTTCTAAAGTGCCAAACTGCCGTTGTGTCCTAATGCATTCAGCTCTGATCCAAAAGTGACTCACGTGGCTTTTCCTTGTATGTCCGCAAAAGATTAAACAATGATAATATCCAGATTATTCTTGTCTCACAATATTATCTTATTATTATCATTTTCAGATTGTTACTTTAATGTTATTTTTATTGTGGAATACTATGCAAGCTACAGTGACACACTGTAAACCCTAACTTCAATCGTACTTCAGATATCAAAGTTATTTTAAATAAATTTTTCCCAGTAAGTAAATATTACTCATTTATTGTTAGTTTATTTAAAGCTTTCCTATGTCACACAGGGTTTTCTTTGAATATAACTGTTTCTGTTCAAGTAAACCTCACTTTTGACATTTTGATGTGTAGAGTCTTTAATGAGGCAGGTGTGACAATGGCAGGGTGTCTTGGTGGCTGAGTGGGTAGCACCATTACCTCTCAACTACAGGGTTCTGAGTACGAATCCCGGTCGGATCTTAAGTAGAAATTTAAACTTTATTGCAATCACTTGAGTTACTTGGTAATATCAAGTAAAGGATGTACTCGAGGAATTCAAGTGAAGTTAATACGCAATTTATTTCCATGGTTTTTTCAAGTAAACTTTACTTGTCAGGGTTTACAAACACAATTTCCCTAATAATTTGAAGTTGCTGTCTCAACGTCTCTCTATCGATATCTTGAAGTATGTTTGAAAGATGTCAGACACATTTCCTTCCTGAGAAACTGGAGAGTGAGATCACACCTGAAACCCTGCGGTGACAACCCAATCCGTCTCTGAGAAAGAGCGTGATATGAATCTTGTATTTCATGTAGATCAGAATAGACGCCACCATAAGAGCAGGTATGACCACAGCCGTAACAGTCACAGCTACATACGACGGTCGCTCTGTCAGTGGAGAAGACACATTTTTATGGTATAAGCAAATACACAATACACTATTACTATATATTTTCATCCACACCTTTTTGTGCCAAAGTGACATTAACACTGATGGATGGTTGGGACACAGATTCTAGTCTACAGGTGAAAACTGTGGATAAATCCTTCTCCGAAACCTCTTCAAAGAAGAGAGAAGCGGTCATCTTCGTACCTTCACCCATGTCTTCTCTAGAAACACATTTATATCATTATAAACTGTAAATAATTCCCAGAGTAGATTTTAGTGACTGAGTTGTTTACTTTGTAACAGAAGAATGCACCCTCACATTGTCTTGGTCAATTTTCCAGTAAACCTCATTTAGGATAGAAAATATCATCGCTGTGCAGTTGATGACCAGGGGAGAGCCTGCAAACAGTGCATTTACAGGTGAAACTCAGAAGCTTAGATTGTCATTAAACAGTTAATTTATTTCTGTTATTCAACTTCAAATGTGAAAATCAATATAAGAATATATGCAATATTGGCTTCCCTCTCCATGGCCTCACAACAAAGTACATCTGTGTCGTGTTGGTGCCACGTGAACCAACTTGGACTTTGAGGAGCACAGGGACTGGCCTCCTGCTGGTGTTCAGAGTATTTATGCAACTATAATCTGAAATTGTCAGAGCCTACTCTGACATGCTCTAATCCAAGTTAAAATCACTTGTTTAGTTGTGCTTTCAACTGAGGGAGTGTACCTTCCCACTTTTCTTCCTTTGTTTATAAACTGTGCTACACAAATAAATAAACTTAAATGTAATACCTTTGTTTGTCAACAATATTACAAATAAAGGTTTGATGTCACACTGTCATATAGTTTAACATTACAAGTTGATAAATAGAGGTATATGGACTTTAGGACAATAATAGAATTTACTGAGCTTTCTGTTGAAACTCTGTGAAAGTTTGAAATGGACTGACCTACATCAGCAGAAAACACTTCATTTGGAGATGGTGAGATGATCCCTTCATTTTTTATAGTTTCTGGAAAAAACACATGTGCATGAAGAGGGTTACACAAAGTCTCTAAGCATGAGTTTTATCTGCACCTTTAGGCTGAATATCCAGCGTCACATTGAACGTCATGTTATAGACTTGACCACGAAACAGAAAGGACCTGACGCAGGTGTAGGCGCCGCCGTCAGACTCTGTCACTCTGGGGAAGTCCAGCGTCTTCTCTTTGACCCATCCTTTTAACCCTTCCTAAAGAGAGGTTGTTATTCTTTGTGAAAAGCCTTGAATAGATGGTTGCAGATGTGTAACTTATAATGTAAAAATGGATTAAAGCTGTAGACTGGCGTATTCAAGAGATGAACTACATTGATGTGACATCACAACAATCCAAAGAGTCTTTAGTCTTTTGTTTAAATTGTGGTGGAGGGCAGCTGGAAAGTCCTGGTTTATTGCTAGTTTCTCTTTCCACAAGAAACAAAAACCATAACAAAGATCGACTTCTTTGTCAGCACATATCAACTATGGTTGGAGTTATTTTCTCATGATGGTGTCGAGAAGTTTGTTACAATACCTTAAAAATATATATGTATGATGTTGGCTAGTAGAGAGGGCTTTCAGGCGTAAGAATAATATTCTGTTTTTATCCAATCAAATAATGCCGTCCATCCATCCATCCATTTTCTGCCCTTTAATCCATTTCTGGGTCAGGGGGGTGGCAGTCAGAGATGCCACCCAAGTCTCATAGCACCAGCCCCTCACTGACCCTCTGCAGGTGGTGAGTCCACAGGAGGACGGCTGCTCTCTGAGTGTGAGCATAGCCTTGATCTTTCAGTGGGGGCTTTGGGCAAAGTGGGGTTAAGTGTCTTACCCAAGGACACAACGACAGCAGTCATCAGTGGGAGTCGGTGGAGAAGGTGCAGAGGTGGGAATTGAACCTACAACCTTCTGGCCTTAAGGCCAATGCTAATCAAATAATGATCTGGGAAAACATCTGGATATTTTCCTTTTATCGTAAAATTTTACAGGGGTGATTTGTATCCATGGAGACAAAATGTTAGTGACGTTTGAGCATCACTCCCTGTTTCTTGGATATAAGTAAAAAGTACAGATACCCCTTGCCATGTGACGCCTTTCAAGATGAGCTCCACACTCCGCGCTGGAGTGTAGGAGGCAGGGCAGGAGAGAGAGCAGGCCTGTCCACTGTAACAGGTCTTGGGGAACTGAGAGAACTTCTCACAATCACCAGTCGGAGAAGTGTAGACCGTCAAGTCATATGTCTTGTTATGTGCTCTATAAAGACAAAAATGGGAAGGTATGAAAATACAAAAATATTTCATGGATGTTGAAAAGTTGTGATGGGTAGGACTATGGGATTATTTTAGCTTATATAGTGCTACATAAAGCTATTGTTTTGTGAGAATAAGGTTCTTAATGCTAGATTTCATCAATTAAATGTTTGTACAGCCCTAAATCCCAACCGGACTCTCAGGACTTTACAAAGCTGTCAATTCCTCAACAACAGATCAGAGAATCAAACAATTCAAACACAGCAAATGCGATAAAAACAAACACATTGGTCATTGGTCCAACCGATCACATGCCTTTTGAGATATCTTTGCTCTAATGAAACGGATTAGTTTTGGGGCACTATATCAGCTACCACCATAAGGACTGGCTGACTAACTCTCTCTTGGGGACATTTTGTGTGTTTACCCGATGCAGGAGTAGTTTCCCTGCTGATGCTCTGAAGCGTTGAGTAGAACCAGCTCCCGGTCAGTGAGCAGTGTGGTGTTCTCGCTCTGGTCAGGACCTCTCTGCATCACACTGCGCCTGGGACACTGCAGCGCCACCATCTCACCAGATCTCACACAAATCCTTTCTGCACTCACCCCTGAAACAACAGCAAATGCAAAGTATATCATGTGTATACCCTAGGCTGGGCAATTTTACTGCCCCATTTGGACGATTACCATTTATGAAAGTCATTGAAGGCCACGACTAAAAGTTATAAATTGAGTTTCAAAACATGTTCCTTGTGAACTGCCCTGTTGTATGAATGTATGTGTATGTTTTGCGACCCGGCTAAACTGACCTTGATTTCACCGGATTTTCCTATGAAAAGGTGATGTCAGCAACCAAGAATTTGAATTCATGTTTAAAAGATTGTATATTTCGTACCAGTGTACTATTATGTGCAGTAAGTATTTTCAGACAGTGATATATTCAAAATAGTCCCACCCCTTGGTGCAACCTCCACCAGTAAGATTTGCCGGAGGAGAACAGTTAAACCAATGACAAGGGGTTCCAGGGATTTACATTAATTTTGTCCAATCAGGAGGATGTAAGGGGAGGGGCATGGGCGGTTCTAACCAGTTCTTTAAAAACTTTTAAAAGTAACTGACATTTGCTTAATAAAGCAATTGGAGTTTTCTGACAATATGTTGAATGGTCACAACATGCAATACACACATATTCCATGGGCTTCTAGATTAATAATAAGATAAAAATCTGCATGTACAGAATGTTTATTTGCTGCATATGTCGTTAGATACACTTTTTCATTTTATCCTTTGTTTTATCACAGGTGACGGTTCAAAACGCATCACTGTAATTTCCTATAAATGTATGGTTCGCCTTCTCTGTCTGATGGAAAAGAGCAACATTGTAGTTATATTTATTCATAAAGGACTTTACTCATAAACTGCAAATGGAACTCTGGCTGTCTAAACACAAAATCACAGGAACATTTTCTTTAAAAAAAAATACAGAAAAAAAAAATACGGTGCAAATTTGAACTTGCAAAAAATACCTTTGAATATTTTCCAAAAGTGAAAAAAAGGCCTGTGTGAAAAGTAGAGTCTGGTACTCTAATTGAACCTCTCCTTGTTTAAATAAAGACACATTTAAGAGAAAGAATATGAAACTCGTCAGTCACTCACCAATGGACGCAGTGAGAAAGAGCAGAACATTCAGCATCATGTCACAGTTTAGGAGACTTCAATGAACAAGGCAGACGAGCGACCAAAATGAAAGAGCAATCAGATCTTTCCAAACACCCAGAGCACGAGGAGGAAATGACACATTCACTCTGGGGATTTCTTCAAACACAAGGCCAATTTTATTTTAACACTTAGGGCATACTAACAAGTGCAGAATGGACGCTATACACATACATTTTTACAACCACCATATGTTCAAAGCTTTAAGATGAAAAAGAAAAAATAATTTGTGCTAAAATAAATAGTTTAATAATACTTTCACGAATAAATAGGACTTCATAATGACGAGTGAATAAATAACATGCTTGGGTTGATTATACAACAGTTGATCTGGCTTGTTTTGTGTTGTCTAATCTGGCACAGTGTGAAATCGGTGATTAGAAAACCACCTTTTAAGCATTGCTCCGGTCAGTGCAGCTGCAGCAGTCGCCAGGAGAGTGGTCACAATAATGACAGTACGGATATGTGCGGCTTCTTGTTCTATAGAAAACACAAAGCGATCAGATGTAATGTGATGCTTTTTGGGATGATTTTGGAGTTGGACAGGGTGTGTGTTCTCCAGCTATAAACATGTGTTTCTCTATTGTTTTCAGTGTGTATGAAACCCAAAAAAATGCTGATTTCTCATTCTTCCCTTGTTTTTAAGACTGCGCTGCAAGTTTTGCTTTCTCTTCCCAGCTGTTGTAGCAGCATTTTCCATGTAACGAAACTAAATAGTATGTACTTAATTTTGATTAAACTGAAAAATTATAACATTGTTCACAAGTTCATGCTCTCCTGTAATTCAAATTAAAATGTGAAACCAAATTTAATACAGACCTATTACTTATTACACATGTCTCTTATGTGACAAGTGACATATGCCAAGCCTTTGTTATGATTTTAATGATTTAAGCTTACGATTTGATATGTTTTATTTGGTGTTTTTAATAATTGATTATCAGCATCGAAGCCAAAAAGGCTTTATATATGTCACTTTGCGTGTGAGTGATATTTTAGTTTCACGTTGTCATCTGGGGTACAGAAAGTAAACGGACTTAATGATATTCAAATTTCACCTGTATTTTTCTGACATTAAAACACACATCAAAGTTAGATCACTTGTGTCATAAACAAATATAATAAATTCAGTTACAGTGATATAAGTGACAATAGCTACAACTAAAGTTCCTGGATGTTTTTGGATCACACTGTCGTACGTTTCTGCTGCAGAGAGACTGTGACTGAGCTGGATGGAGCCGACACAGATTCCAGTTTGCAGGTGAACTCTTTGGATAAATCCTCTTCTGTGACCTCTGTGAAGACCAGCGCGGTTGTCATGTACGTCCCTTTGGTGTTTTGGAATCTGAAATGAAAACAGGACGATCAAAAACTCGTGCGATCTGCGTCTGGAGCTGACGATGGAGACATTTTTTTATTTTATGAATCACAACAAAACAGACAAAAACAACAACAACAACAAAACAACACAACTTAAAACAAAAACACAGAAATACAAGCCCAAAACAGAACAAACAAACACAAAGACAGGACCAAAATAAATAAATAATGATAATAATAATAATAATAATAAAAACACAAAAATAGAACATAAGAAATAAACAAAACCAAAGGAGTATATTTACACTGCTGATCTGGAGTGCATTCTCAGGTTTGGATCACTCTTCACTGACGACTTTTGGCTCATCCAAAAAACCTCATCAAAGTCCGAGGACAAAGTGGCTGTGCAGTTCACCACATACACAGATCCTGAGGGAAAATAACTTGACATGAATCAAAAATGCATTTTTAGTTCAGAAATATAGTAATTAAACTGAAAGAAGGAGAGGTGTTACTCCCATGATGCTCCTTGTAAATGGAACTCTCTGCCTGATGAGTTCTTTCAAGATTAAACTTAGGACTCACTTGTTCAGATGTTTCATGTCTTTTGTTCAGTTGTATCTTTCTTTGTGAAATGTCTTGTGATTATTTTTGTCAGTAATTTGTGAAATGTGCTAAATAAATACATTTCCTTTCGTGATGGTCTATGGTGCGATCTCTCTTCTAGCCTCTGAACTGGCCACTGCATTATTACTGTTGAAAGTGTGGAGAGCTGTTTGTCCAATCCAAGAATAAAGGACCTGTTAAACTTGGAGAATTATGATAAAGGACAGCGATGATCTGGGACATTTAGAGACGTTTATTAACATTTAAGGACATTGCCTTTTATGTGTTTGTTATGATTACATTTCGTCTGTTTAAACTGTTCTCTAATCTGTTCACTTTGTAAAGATGACAGCTGTTGTGATTTAGGAATATACAAAAAACAGTTGAATTGAGTTGAATTATCACCCGCCCCTCCTCGTCACAGTAGCATCACTTTTTGTTCTGTGTGGATGTGTTTTCCTGTTTAAAACCTTTTTTTTTTACCTAGTTTGATTTCAAAAACCTCTCTGTGACGTGGTGTAAGGATCTCAACAACTGTTGGTGTTTCTGGGGAAACAACAAGGAAGACATAATTAGATTGTGGAAAGTGATCATGGAACTATTTATTGTAATGTGAAGGACTTGTGAAAACATGTTACCTTGAGGTTTGACATCGAGTCTGTAGGTGACGGTCCTGTTGTAAGTCTGGTCTTTGTAGCCATAGAAGCGAGAGCAAGTGTAAGTGCCTTCGTCTGCTTCCTCAACTTTTGAAAAGGACAAAACCTCTTTAACCTGTGTTTGTCCGCCCTACAACCCAAGAGTCCACATTACCATATGATCACACATCATCATAATCCTCATCATAACAAGATGAGTCAGAGATAAGTTCTGTTTAGTGTTAGCGGCTGCTGTGCGGAGACATTTCAAATTATAACAGAGCCGCTCAGGGTGGATAAGTGCACTTCATGCAAGAGGGCCAAGGAATTTACTCGAACCAAAGGATTTTTGCCAAAAAAAGATTTGGCCGCTTTACTATCAGAGAGGCTAAATGACCTCATCCACAATTACCACAAGACAATCTGTCATAGTTGTCATAACAGGGGGGCTGGGTGACAGATTCACTTGGCTAAACTCTGAGACAGGTTATAACAGTTCTGTTAAGCCGCGCACACAACAGAAGGATTCTATCTTCACTCCTCTTTAATGTTCTGTGATTCTTTATGACTTTGTGTGATTGTTTCTATCTTGTTTTGTTAAGCACTTTGAGTTTCCTTGTGTGTGACCTGTGTGTGCTATACAAATACATTTGTCTTGCCTAAAACACAGTAATTTGAACTGGGGGATGTAAACTTTTGATCAGGGTCATTTGGGTAGTTTCTGTTGAAAATAGAAAAAAAAATTGACAACATATTGGCTTCACACATCTACGTACATGGAGTGAAAAAGTGCCGTATCTTTCATAATCAGAAAAATATATTCTGATACCATCTAAATTTTTGCCTCAAAGTGTGTAAACTTAGATGGACAACTATCAATGTGTTGGATCCAATTGTACCATAATAATTAATCATTAATTTAATTCATTGCTGTCGGTGAAACCAAAGCCTCATGATTGTATTTCACCTTTGTCCACGTAATGCCGTGGCGCTTGAGGTGGGGTATGTCTGATCCGGGGCAGTTGGAGACGGGACAGCGCAGAGTGCATCTCTCTCCACTGTAGCAGGTGGCGGTGTACTGCGCCCCCGTGTGGTGAGCATGTGACTCTGCAGTCAAGACGACCAACTGGTGCCAGAAAGTGTTGTTCCTGACAACAAAAACAAGATTATTTCATTAATATTTGTGAAACAGTCACTTGGTAATAGTTTACAAAGTCTAAATGAGTAACTGTTATGTTTTATATTCTGTGGACTGTTACAGAATGTGATGTCTCTCTCAAAGGGACAGATTATTGAAACAGCCTTCTGATGCACTGTATTGTCCCCGTAGGGAAATCTGCCCACTGCATCCTGATGCCACTAAGGCTTATGTCAGGAGCAGTGGTCACCGTAGTTCATCGCCCGGGAGCCATCTCCATTTGATGTTGCCCATAAACATATGGTTATGGGCAACATCTTCCGGTCAACTAGAAATGGCACTATAGGGACAAATGATAACATTTTCTGTGCTCTACGAGTGTTTTTTGCTGTTGTTCATTTATGTACCCTATCTAATGAATACCAAATCAAATAAAAAATTGAAATATTAAAGTTTAAATAAATACAGAAGCAGGATCATGATAATCTGACTTACCCCACAGAGCAGGAGTAATTCCCCTGCTGGTTTGGAGAGACCCTCAGTAACACCAGGCTCCTCTGGTGAAGCAGGAGAGGTGCTGCTGTGTTTGTTTCACTCATTAAAATCCTCTTTTGAGGTGTGTAGCTGGTCCAGGACGGTGAAGTCGTCATCCTTCTGCCTTTGGGACACTTCAGGACAACCAGACCTCCATCTCTGACAAAAACCTGCTCCGCACACACACCTGAGGAAACATGAGTAAAATACAATTGCAGTGTCTGAATATGACCGAGTGGAATGACAAGGCCTAGACTGTGTGTGGAGGGAAGCACCCCTGATGTAAATACCTAAGATAAATAGTTGTTTAATTGTGTTATATTATAGGTGCGAGCTTAATGTCACCAATAGTGTCATGTTGTAATCGTCATAAATTAGAATTAACCTTACACATTTTAGGCTATGTTTAAAATATTATCATCATGGGATTGAAAATAGCGTATGAAAAACACACTATGTAGTCTACCTGTCAGCAGAGGGAGGATTATCAGCAAGGTAATCATGGTCCGCATGGTGATCTTCTTTGTGGTCAGAGCTCTGAAGAAGTCCCCTTTTAAAAGGCTGTGTTACTCATCCTGTTGCCACGAGTCAAGAGCTCTGAAAACAAGCAGAGACATGTTTGAACCAGTCAATAGGTCACAAAACTGAAAGTGAAATAAAATTCGGACGTCTTCAGACAAACAGGTGGGTTGAGTTTTTTTACCCTTTTTGGACAGTAGGCTATAACGTGAAGGACTACATGGCCTAATCTTCCTTTTAAAGTGCGTATTTATACATTTTATCAGAACAAATATTTTCTATCAATTTTGTATCTATTTGTCTGGTAAAGAAAACAGCATTCTGAATTGGCCCATCCATTATTTCAAGCAAAAAGGCAAAACATTTGTAGGATTGAAAAACCTACAGTACTTATGCCAATACTTAAAAAGGTGAAAGTTTAAAGCGTGATTCTGACTTTTGCTGCCAAAGCTATGGTTTCTTTCAGCAGCAATAAATTAGGCTTCACCTTTGAATCGCTGCTTGTAAAAAAGTCTCTGGGCAGTTTTTGAAATGTTTTATGTTCTAGTAAAACATGGTCCCAAAGATGATATCATGAAGGTCTGTGCAACAATATCCTCACATCACAATGAAAACTCCTTTCTGCAAAAAAATGCCAAAGAAAATATACGTTTGACCTGGTCCTTGTTCCCACTCTCATATTTTTAATGGTACACATGGTTCTTTCGTCTCTGTAGGTCATCAGGGTTTTTTTTTAACCTGTATTTGCCTATGAGAAATCTTAAAGTTTTCCATGTTATAATGATGTAATCAAATGTAATGTAATGTAACTAGTTCATACCCCTCAAAACTCTTTGTTCTATCACTAATTATTACTAACTATTCGTATGCATGTATTTCGGCCTCTGCATCACCATGAGATCAGCTTTTGCAGACAGAAAAAGAAAGAACCAATGCTATCTCAGCCAATCAGCTCTCAGTATGTGAAAGATAAGGTGTTTTCTATTGTGCTTTCTTATCTGGCCTCTACAAAGACAGATAAAAATATATTATACCGTCTGCATGTTCCTCCACATTGCCCATTATGTCGTACTTCTTCTACAGGTTTGGATGATACAGTACATGATCATAATATTTCTCACTATTCAAAATACACAAAACCGTTGCACTGCATTGATTATTTCCCTGCTGTTTTGTAATCACTGTGAGGATGAATAAAAAAACAAAAAAGAAATGGGTTTTAATAGGGATGCACCGAGTCCAGATTTTTGGGGTTTGGCCGAATACCGAATCCACTGGTTAAGATTCTGCCGAATCCGAAACCGAATCCCGAATCCTACTCCATCCTCAGTCCATTAACAAAGTAAACACATTTATGAAGTAAATAACATCCACAGCAGTGTGTATTTAATTTTAATGTATTTTAGCTGTAAGCCTGAGCTACTCATGGATCTATAATAATGGAGCTTCTGCATTCAAACGGGCCACCTACGTAAACATATTCCTATAATCAACAGCAGCGTCATGGCGTCGACCAGCACAGCGCGCATAGTGTAAGCGTAGGGTTCGGTTCGGTGGGGAAAAATTCTCAGGTTCGGCAGAAACCGAACCCCGTCAAAAAATCCAATATTCGGCCGAATCCAAAACTGAATCCTGGATTCGGTGCATCCCTAGTTTTAAAGCAGAGAATCATCTGAACATAATGTAGCATGATTCACCTGTATCCAAGTTCAGCACATGTGCGTTTGGAGCCTAAGAATCAAGAGTTGACAGTGTGTTACAAACAACCTAGAGACGTTCAGCAAATCTTGGCAACTGCAAATGTTTAAGAGAAACTGCTGCGATTATCAACAATCTCACAGAAAGTAAACAGGAGAGAAATCCTTAAAAGCAGGCCAAAAAATACTCCCAAAATGAGAAACACATGACTCATATAATTCAATACAAATCATTTATACAGGAGAGCACAGAGTGGGGGTCTGCCATCTTTATATGGAGATGGTGTTATTTCACAAAAGGAAAAAAACACATCAAAATGTTTGAACACCTTTTTACCGAGCTGGACCACCATGCCGTGGTACAGTGGATACTGCTTGTGGTTCCTCACAAAAAGGTCCTGGGTTTGATTCTACCTTCAGGCAGGACCACATAAAACATGTGACCAGACCTATATAAATAAATATTACTCACTTACATTTACATCAATAGATACAATTGAAATCAGTCGTTGTCAACTTAAAATCACTCCCTCTTTCTACACACGCATAATACACTGGATCTAACCATGGACTAACCGTGACAAAACCAGGTAGAAGGCAGCTGGGTGCCTTATTTTGAAATCACAAACAATGAAATTGTAGTAAAATCCTTGCACTAAAGTTCCTAGCTCTCAAATCCATTGTTTCTAGCTATTATTTTCAAACTCTTCACATGCATGTATTTTTAGCCACAGTCACATCTTTAGATCAGACTTTTCAGACATAAAAGAGAAAACCAGCGCTCATCCATTCAACCAGCTCTCAGTATTTAAAAGTTAACAGGTTTTTCTAATAAGTCAAACGCAGAATGTCTTGCTCTGATTGGTTCATAAAGTTACAGTACTTAAACCAGACTCCTTCTGTTGGGACGGACAAAATGTATTTATGACACAAAAACCATTGGGTACTCCAGCTTTAAGTCTAAACCAAGATCAAAAGCAGGTCAATAAATCCTTGTTAACATCCTCCCATTCTTATAAAAGTGTTCATATCTGGCTCTGCTTGTGTGGTGATAAGATCATTGTAAAAGATTAAGACATATTTATATTATCCAAACATAGCTCTACAGATAGTGGCATCTAAAGTCACACCCATCCACCCTGGTTCTAAAACAGTAATGACTGACACAATGTTTATTTCTGATTAAACAAATGTCATGACATGCTTTTAGGTCGTGGATAAAAAGGGACTTCCTGTTTGTCAGCATGACTTCTGTGAAAATCCCCACAGCTCCAATAAGAGCTCTGCCCTGCGTTAATAATGCATAATGCAATGTCATGTGTGTCATGGTGCTTTTATTCTGATAGGAAATGAAAGAAAATATAAAACCAATGTCAAGGACACTGTAAAATATTTGACACAGTGATATGAGAAAAGTACTGTTTAATATGTTCACTATTTATTCTTATTCTCTTCTAGAAACTCACTTTGGGGTTCAGAATAAACAAGCTGTACAGAATAATGGAGATGCACAGTGGAGTTCAATTCAATTCACATTTTTTTTGTATAGCCCTAGAGCACAACAGAGGACTTTACAAAGTTGTCGATTCAGATCAGAGAATCAAACAGTGCGAACACAGGAGGTGCATTAATAATACACAGGAGACATTGGGCCACAGGCAGCGGGATGATCACTGTCCAGAAATGTGCCTAAATGCCCCAGATCCTCACTGTCCTTAGACTAGGGCTGGGCAATGAATCGAATTTAGGTAGTTAATCGGCTTTTTAAAAAATCGAATTTGTGAAAAATGTGAAAAATGTGAAAATCGTGAAATCGAATTAAGGATATTGTGAGAGTTCCAGCAGCACATGAGTCTGTACAAGACTTATATAATACGTACTGGGGGAAACAAATAAAAAATAGTTTTGAAACTTGAATATTGAGCAGAAAGATCAACAAATGTTTTTAAGGGCAAATTCTGTCTTTGGTGACTTTGATGAAAATCGATTTAAAATCGAAATCGTCCAAAGCAGGAAATTGAGATTTTACTTTTTTGCCAAATCGCCCAGCCCTACCTTAGACCCTCCTTCATCAGCACGGAACGACTCAAAAGAAAAAAAAGTGAGAAACCACAGAAGATCCACTCTCTCAGACATAAGCCATAGATCCAGCTGGTTAGCACTGCTCCCGGGATCAAATCCAGAACCTTTATGAATGGAGTTTGCATGTTCTCCTTGTGTCCAAGAAGGTTTTCCATGCGTTCTGGATTCCTCGACCAATAAAAAGTCACCGAAGGTAAAATCCTCCAGCTCTGGTCCTGACCAAGCCAAACATCCACATCTGGAGATGGTCCTCGGTACAGGGACAATGAAGTATAACTTTATTAATCAATTACTTAATATTATAATTTTACCCAATAGCATTGTTTAAACAAAAAAGTAAAACAGTAAAATAGAAAGATATTATAAAATGTGGAAGGCTTAAAATTGTTTTGATCATTTTAGTTGATCCCACATCAACTGAAGTGATCTCTGTCCTTCATCTTTTCCAGTTTTTGAAACGAGGAAGGACAGACAGATCTCTGGAAAACGACTGGAGTCAAAGTGTGAAGCTGAAACAACAGCGAGAGGAAAAGGAGCAGCGATCTCACAGTTTGTGCAAGATCAGGTCACATGAAAAAAGAACAAAGTTCAGCAAAATAAATTTTTAGGAGTTATGATAAATGAAATCATCACTTGGATACGTTGCATAAGTTACTCGAGGACAAAAGGTCCGAGAGTGATGCAGCCATGAAAATGATGAAGCAGCATTTACCGTATTTCATACACTAACTATTTTATAACCATTTCACAATATAACAGTTAAAGCTGTAGCAAACACAAAACACGTAATACTGTATGTAATATAATCCAAGATACTAGTTCCTCCTTCTCAAAACTGTTTGGTTTTGTCACTATTTCTCATTTGCATCTGTTTTTCTGTCAAAGCTTTAGATCAGCCTGTTCAATGAAAAGGAGAGTAATCAGCCAATCAGCTCTCAGTATGTAAGAAGACAAACAAACTCACATTCGTACACTTACCAATGTTAGCCTCCATGTTGGGACTCATTTACCAATCTATTTTGACAATAAACGTGAGTCCTAAAGCTACTACAAGGTATGGCTATAGGTCACAGGTTCCATAGTTTATTTCCCATTTGAAAACCATGGAAACGTCCATGGCTCAATATTAAAAGTTCCGTGATAAAGAGCATGGGCAGATGATGGACGATGTGTTGGAGGGTTCTGACATTGTGTTCTGGCTTCAGTCCATCTGC